CACGATTCGCACACTGCACTGATTGCACACAGCTGTTTCTAATCACCTCACTCACTATATAACACCCACTCTAACCACATTTCTCGGCTGAGTATTGTTTAGCCTTTACCCCTTTCCGAGTCTCCGTGTTTTCCTTGTTTTGCCTTGCCTTGTCAGTTTTCTCGGTTCTGATCTTTGCCTTTCCCCCCTGGATTTATCCCTCTAGTCTCGCCCCTGTGATTCTGTCTGCCGATCGTCGACCTACGCTAGCCCTAGGACTATTCTTGTGTTTTGCCCGCCATATACCTGTCTGCCATTATCTGACCCATGCCTGTTTTATGACCACGTCTCTGTCTTCTCCTAATAAAGAGCATGCATTTGGATCCGCACGTCTCACGTCTTGTCAGCCCCCTTACAAGAGAAAAGTTCAAGAACGCATAGTCAAATGCAATCTATGTGTGACACCAAACTCTCAACATGGAGAAATAGCACGAGTAACAGAAGAAACAGCTAGACTGGTGCCACTTGTAAGGCCAAAAATTATCAAAGACTTCTGCTTTCCTGTCCCAAACCTATATTCAGTAACAAAAGGGCCATTTGGCATTCCTGAAGGCACAGAAGTGCTGATATCGATCAAGGCAGGCCAACATGTGTATACATCGGGGGTCTGCTAATTATCACACTCTTTTGACCAGTGGGTGAAGCTGTAATCTGCTGATTGGTCAGTTTGAATGTCTCACGTTTGGTTTTTAGTCACATGGTCAAGGAAGGGATAAAAGAGGACTGTAACTGTTGCTCTGGCTCTTTCCTTTGCTACCTCTTTTTCTTTGCTCTTTCCTTGGCTGCCTCTCTCTTCTTGGGGCTCTGCCCTCTCTCTCTCTCAGGTAATATTTTACATACATGCTGGGTACAATTAATTGTTCATGTTTTACCATCCTTCATCTATTTTGTAACCAATTCAAGTGTAACCATAACAAAATATTGTTATTAAACCATTTCAATTATTAATCATCTGCTAACTAGTCTTGATTTCAAGGTTAATATTAAAGTGCTACCTATTGCAATACAATAGTCACTCAATAGCAACGCTCTCCCACATATTTAGCTATTCTAACTGTGCTTATTTCCGTCGTTGGTATAAGTGGCAGTGGGTGGTAATAGACTAGAAATGTACAGTTTTATACCATCGTGCTGATAACGTTTCTTTAGTCATTCGGCAATCCTACAGCCTGAACCACCGTAGGGAAACCATACTTACAACACCACAAGTCATTTTAGACACTGGTTAGCTTGGTGACCAGTGGTGGGACTAAAAAGCATGTTCACTTCTTAGAGGACATGACTTGCTGTGATGATTCTGGAATGATTTGTTCAGAGGAAGCATGTGCCACTGCACAAAAAAGTGTGCAGATTTCAGTCCTTAAGGTGATGCAGCACCGTAATAGCGCAGTCGTGGACCAGAACGCATGGTGTAAAGGAAGCCTTAGAGAGTCATGAAAATCCTCAAACTTCAGGAGAACACAGCAAACAACCCTGTGGCAAAGAGAGCAGGTTTTGTCGTTCCTGTCACAAAATAGGCCATACAGAGGAAAAATGCTGGTCACTGGGTAGGGGTAGACCTCCACCTTATTTTCAGAAAGATAGGAAACCACTTTCTAAAGCAGGGGTGCCCAAACTCGGTCCTGGAGGGCCGGTGTCCTGCAGAGTTTAGCTCCAGCTTGCCTCAACACACCTGCCTGGAAGTTTCTAATATGCCTATAAGAGCTTGATTAGCTGCTTCAGGTGTGTTTGATTAGGGTTGGAGCTAAACTCTGCAGGACACCGGCCCTCCAGGACCGAGTTCGGGCAGCCCTGTTCTAAAGGCAGATATCAATGCTCATTTGCAAGTAAAACTCTTAGTGAGTTGACTGCATTGTTCATGCAAGGCCTCCAGCTATTGACTTCACTTGCTAGTGGGTTAGCAGCTTAATAGCAATGCGTTTAATATGTAAACATCCAAATTTCAATGATCCTGTTTGTATTTTCAAATTTGTAATTGTGCTAGACACATTGTGCGCATAGAGCACATTATAGTTGTTTGTGTAACTACATGTGCACAAAGACTAGTTGAGTTTATTCTTTTAAAACACATGACTGCGTTACTGTAAGTGTGTGAAACACTTAGGTTTGAGGTTGTAGATGCAGAGCATTCTAGACTACGTGTCTTGTGTAAAATTGGAATAACTGTACTACTGGAATTGCATAGCAATTTCAAGTTGTATGTGTGTCTAGGTTGAGTTTGTTTGTCTCCTGAGTGGTACACTCTGTTATTTTCCATATAGCTGCAGTGATCCATGTACATGAGCATAGAATTGCCATGTGGCCACAGTGTGATTCACAATTGTCCTAACAATTAAAATACTTTCCTCACAACAGAATTCAATGCCTCTGAACTTTGCACTTTATCATGCTCCTAACAAAGAACATTGGTATGGAAGCATTTTGAGCCAGATCACACCTCTTTCTCACATTCTCAGGCTGGCTCCCTGTTACAACAGGACCAAATTTGCATCACAATTGTAAAACTTCCTTGCCTTTGTTTGGAGCATGATTACACTGACACATAACCACAGCTAAATGCAGACACATATACTACCATTTGATCTTCACATACATAGTGACATTTACATCTGTCTGATACTGCCTCATATAATGTTAAGTCTATACATCTGGACTGTATTATAATTGTGAATTTCATTCAGTTATTGTTTGTTTTGGTTTCTTTGGGTATACCTAAT